AAGTTAAAAATATCTTGAGAAAGATCAATATACAAGATTCCTTTGGAATAATCTTGCATTTCCACATGGCATCATTTTGAGCTTGCTTCAAAAGGACCTAGCACATATGTTTTGAGCTAGATAAAATGATTTATATTCTATTTGTTTAGACAAATGAATCTATCATTTATGCCATATTATATACAAGACCACATATATGATTATGCTATAAACATTTCATAAGATATCAATTAGATACATGGAAAAGTCATTTGATGACTATAAGGACATTCTAAGAGAACGTCAGAAGAAGTAAGAGAATATATATGAGTTAACCAGTTTAGAAGAACATCTTTATGTAAAATGCTACACAAGATACTAGCTTCAAAACACTTATATATACTTATGAATTATAATTGGATTTTGAATTTATTATGGATGAAGAGTAAGTTTTGTTGGAATAAGGTTCATGCAAAACATAATAGCACAATCTACTACAACATAAGAGTACATTAGTTCAGAAGCTACAATCATATATCATTGGATGAATGAGTTCATTGAAAAACTAATCTAAGTCTTTCCATTCAACGATAACATAGAAATATTTTGTGACTTTAAGAATATACTTTATCAAGCTAAGAGACTCTCAATCACATGAGAACACCAATCATATTCTCTGAGATATTTCACTATACTTAGAATAAAGTCAAATATGGAGATGATCGTATTCGCAGAATTCACATAAATTAAATTTAGTCAAGACCCATTAATAAAGTCATTCCTTTAAATTAAGCATGGAAGGTAAAGCATGAGTTATAGGACTTCATTATTATAAAAATGGGATTTTATTTGGATTTAGTACATGGACATTGGAACATTGTGATAAAAAACTATTATATTGTTTTGATATATTGGGATATGATCTTCACATTAATGCTTTTTGTGTTTTATATTCACATGTTTAATCCATGAATAATCTAATTATTCTAAAATTTCATAGTCAGTTATAATTGTAGGATCAATTATGAAGTAAAACTAATATGACTTAGATTGGTTGACTCTCATAAGATGAAAGTAGGAAATATGTTGTAACCAAGATTCATAGGTATTTGTCAAAGAACAAGTATTGGACATGACCCATATCCAGATCTTGTAATGGATTGCTATAATGAGTGTTGCTCGATAAAAGGTACTATCTTTGTATCCTTAATACCTAAGATACATATTAGGACTTGAGTGTACGGAGCACCATACCTTGAGATGGTCAAATGTTGTTCATTGACCAGATGGTTATAAAGGCCATTTTCAAGTGTAGTATGAGTTATAAAAGAGGCTATGTAGTGGAGATTGGATTTTTCCTCTTATGTGTTGACAGCTAGACATATAATGTGTGTTATGTTACACCCCGACCAACAGCGAAAACATTGCATTGTGCGATGTTTGGGACTTTGTACACAGTTATTGAATATATTAAACAAAACACAACGTTATATAGTAAAACATTACTTTTTATTTATTATATAATAGGGGTTACAAAGTTGTCTTACATACTAGTACAATGAGATTATAAAGTAAATAATCAGAGAACAAATGATTCCAACTTCACTCTTGATGATGTCCCCAAAACACTTGCCATTTCCGGTACTCATTCTCCTAAGAATACATGTGGTTTTGAATGGTCAACATAATATTGGTGAGTTCAAAAGGTTTTTATACTTTTTAAAATGTTTAGTATAGTTTTTATGGTATAATAGTTTATAAATACTATTATTTTCCTTGACTCGCTCCCTTGAGTTTGTCTACAGTGTGACTATATCTTAGGTTTTCCCTATTTTGTAGTTAGGTTAGTTAAGGCTGATCAATATTACAATGAGTTCCTATAATCATGCTTATTACTGTTGAACTCCCTGAGATGACGCTTCACCGGACTTCGCCTAAGTTTAGAAAGTTATGCATGCTGTGACTCGACCATCAAGGTTCTAGCTAGCAACTGCATATAGGGGTGTCATCCCTCTATAGATATATACATACCTCTCCCGGTCACTTAAGATTTAACAATTATAGTCTGGGGTTAGCTAAAGGTTATTTATCTAAAGGATGAAAAGTGTCTCATTTAACAACTGTTTGTGTGTAGTCGTATCATGTGCTTTGCATTCTCTTATTACGTTAGGTATACTTGTTAACATATATATATATATATATATATATATATATATATATATATATATATATATATATATATATATATATGTTATAATATGTCTTTGAGCTTAACGCCGTCAACGGCGGTTTCGCCTGAGTTAAGTCTGTGAATCACAGCAAAGAAAGAGTCGACATTAGTCGTCCTCTGGGAGGGGGTCCCGGAACGAGACTCCGACAGTGTAGTTAGTAATTGGATGAGATAACTAGGATTTGGCTAGAGATAGAGAAAGAGGTGATCCTTTATTCTGGAGAAGAAGGATCTCTTTTATACCTGTCGTGGAGGGATCATGTCTTCGACAGTACCCTTTTTTCTTGTCTGGACTGTCAGGACATGGAGGCGTCCTATTGGCAGATCGTGCACCACTAGCAGTTATCTGCTATTGGCGCAGAACCGCCGAGGAGTATCTCATTTTAAATTGGAGCTTGGCGCTAGAGCGTCGAGGTCTGAGGCCGCGAGAGCAAGGGCCCGGACCTAGAACTTACGATGGGTAGCGACCATTAACTAGGTCGTACTTTAGATAACTGTCTCATTATCTTTGACGTATTCCTATAGAAATACATTGACAAGTCACCTCGGCTAGTAAACGTTTGCTTCGGGTAGCTGGCTTGTTCTAACTTAGTCCTAAACACGTGTTCGGTTGGGATAGTTCTGACGTCCATTGATGTGACAGAGCCATCTGTGCAGACTATTTGATCATTGTAACTGTTCTACTTTCCCCCCTTTCATTTAAGACTTCCCTTATCGGGGAAGATTTCCTTTTCTTCTCTCTACTGCTCTTCAACTATATCTTCTTTTCTCTTTGCTTCCTTTCTCTTTCATCTTGCATCTGTTAGTGGTAAACAATGGCAACACCAGTCACCAGAATCGATCCTACAAAAAAGGAGTTTGAGTCCCTGTAGGCCCGATTTGGCTTTCTTCCTGAGCACGGGGTGCAATATCCTCGAAGGTGGCGCATATTTCCTGGACGCCGGAAGGGAAAGTTGGAGTCCCAATCCCAATCTTCAAAGCGGGTCTCCAACTGCTGACAACCTACTTTTTCTATGAGATCATGTGTCAGTATGGCTTCTCTGTTGACAATCTGAACCCTAACACTGTCAACAAAATAGTTGGTTTTGAGATGGTCTGTCGAGCTTTTGGCGTGCTCCCTCAATTATGGGATTTCAAGTACTTCTTCAACTCCTCAACTCAGTTCGGCGTGCATACGTTCTCTCAGTGGCAGGGTGTCCATGCATTCATCATAAAGTAGAATACCCCTAAGAAGAACTGGCAAGACAAATGGTTTTGGGTGAATCACAACTTGGTCGGTTTTGCCTATCCTCGCAGAACCACTTTCACCGACTAGACGCCTCAACTCTAGGGGGGAGGGGGCGGGGGCAACGAAACTAAGGTGCAAGCGCTGAGGACTATTTCCTTTATTGGAGAGGATTAGGAGGGCTAATGTTGGCCGCCGTTGGTATGAGTGTCGCCCGGAGGGCTCGTGGGATGATGCCCCAATTCTTCGTGGAGAAGGACGGTGAGTGTGCATCTCCTTCCCCCAACCCCCCCCCCCCCCCACCCCCACCATTTATATATACATGCAAATCTTGACGAGGTGAAGTCAGGCTTTTCCGATCCTTATGTATGTGATTCGTTTTTGTTGTAGGCCATGATAGGGTCATCTCTTTCGAGTTGGTCCTACGGGGAAGGTTTCAAGGCAATTACTAGCATAGGGAAGTGCCCCTGGTGGAGATGCTTCCTCCACCGGTCAGCGCTAATCATGCTCTGGCACTTGCTAGTCCTACCGACGTTGTGGTGCAAGGATCCGGTCCACAGGTTGACTAGGAGTTGGTTGACGCCCTTGTAGAAGGAGTTTCTTGCAACGATCCTCCACCTCCTGATCCGGAGGACTAGGCGTCGAAGGAGGCGAAAACTAGAGGGGTCGTACGACTATCAAGGTTTCAAATAGATGTGGCCCGGTTAGTCTCCCCACTTACTAAAGGCGCCCATGCTAGCACCATTGGCAAGAATCTTCGTAAGAAGCGAAACATGGACTTCTGTTGGGGGAGTCGGATGTGGTGGTGGACATTCCCAATGATGACACTCTGAAACAATTAGAAGATGATACTACCATTCCCAGGGAAGGTGTCTACGGGCAAGAGTCTGAGGGTGGGTTCCAAATTGCTCCTGACTCTGTTGCGCCCTTGGTAAAGGATGACACTGTTGCAGGTTCCTCTTCTCTGCCTGTGGCAACCCCTTGCATCTACGTCCCTGAGTGGGAGCTCGCTCGTGAGTCCTTACTAACGCAACATCCTATTGCGTATGAATGGGGATGTCATGCATTTCCTCCCTCCACTATCGAAGCCCTGGAGCTCCTTTCCAACTCTCATATGTCCAACAGTCTCCATTATGCTGCAGCTTAGGTTACACCTTACTTGTTGGCTGTCGTGCGGCGCCTCCGTCAGGTAAGTTCAGACTCAACAGAGCTTGCCTCTATTAGGGCCGAGCGGGTCGAGTTAAGGGAAAAATTGTTGGGTTGGAGGAGGAGAAGCGCAAATTTGAAGAGTGTTATGATCTTTTGTCTGGGGAGAAAGCGTTTGTAGAGGAACAGGTTACGAGCTTGGATGGCTCAGTGGAGCGTTTGGAAAAGAGAGTGGAGACTCTGGTTGAGGAGAAAGAGTTATTGGAAGAGCAGCTGCAGCAGCAGGTTGGTCAGCTTGCTACCGATGAATCCAGGATGAAGATTGTGGAGGGGGATATGGTGTGGCAGCTCTGGGAGGGTATTGTTTGGGTGGTTGATCGGGTCATTGACAGTCCCGATTTCTCAATTGGGGTTTGGCGAATGAAGGCGACGTATGTCGCAGCTGGTGTGGAGGGAGGCAGGCAGGCGGTAAAGGGACAGGTGGCCTCTGGGAAATTCGATCCGAATGAGACAAGCGCTATGGTGGAATTAACTCAGGCAATGCATGCTTCTGTGAAGGCGTTCATGGAAACAAATTTTGCCTCCCTCCTTCATTTGGGTGAGCTCGACTTAGAGGGCCTTCACCAGTTGTGCCGTGAGCCTGACATTGAGGAGAACTCGTCTGAAGGTGAGCCTCTTAAGGTTGGATCTTCCTTCTCTACTCCCGGTTAGTGATCCTCCCTTCTTCCTGGTTTGTTTATGTGAAGCACTATTTGAATTTTTGGTGTTCGGAAATGATATCTCAAATACAATATTGTTAAGTGTTGTTTGGCCCTGCGTGGCCTTTTTAATTCTGGGAGTTGTCTGGCAAACAAACTTTTTTGTCTTTTGATAATATAATCATTTATGTTACTGTAATGGTTTTGTTTCTATCCCCAGGTAGTTTATGTTAGCCACTGGTGAACACGTGCCCTTAATTTTCCTTGCTGAGGTGATTCTTCCCCCAGGTTTATGTTGGCCTTGGGGGGTCGACTCAAGATAATTAGGTCTTTTTGCTCGGTGTGCGGGTATGTGGGTTGGTGATATAGCAGTGTTACTGGATTTGCCCAACTTTTGTCTCTAGGACTCATATTTGCTTATGGTCCTTTAGATTTATCTCGGGAGCTCGTGTTGGGTGCTCGGGATTTGTCCTTTCTTTGTTTCATAAATCATTATTTCTAGGTTGGGCTTTTGTCCAGTTTGCTTTGTTAAGGTGTCCTTTTTTAGCTAAGCTTTACTGATTCCCATTTTAGGACTTTGTTCTGAGTCCCGGGTCTTAAAGAGTTGCACTCCAGCCCCAACCATCTAATTCAATCCGAGATCGTCACCTCGAGGCATTTTAGGACTTAGGTTTTATTTGTTGTAGGGGAAAGTTTATGATCCTTTGAAACCTTTATTAATGTCAAGGTCAGGGAAAGTTTATGAACCTTTAACGCCTACGGTTTCATTCTCACAACGGTTTTGCTCAAATGATGTGGATGATCGGTCCTTGTTATCATTTGGTAAACGTACACAACCTCTTATGTAAATGTTATCAAGATTGAATAGTAAAGAACGTTCTAATAGTTTTTTTTATAGTCAATTTTGTTCACTTCATTAATAATGTTTTTTAGAGATAACTACATTACTTGGTGAGTTAAGAAAGAGAAATGACTACATCATTGCATAAGCGAAGGCCTAACTCTTGGGCTGACTTGATGGGGTGTGATTACCATTCGAAGTTTGATCACATTTCCCTTGCTTCAGATATGCCTTATCTGGACATTTTTCCTTGCTCTAGGGGTGGTGGTGTGAACTGCACGCACTCCAGGTTCAGGGGATGACTCATTCTTCCTGAACTCTTCGGACGCCAACCCTATCTTGGTGTGCTTCCATGGTCCTGCTCGCATGTTCCTTGGCGGCGTTTAGCTAGGTCTTGGGTCGTGCATGGCTAGACCCATCCTTTTCCAATGTCCAATCTTTTGCATTGGGGCTTTCCACTCGCATACACCAAATGTGGTGATTTTTGGTGTTTCCCCTGTATTTGGCCTGGCTGAGTCTAACGACCTCGTGTTTCCCATTGAATATGTTAATTTTTGGACATTGCTTTGCTTTGTTGATGGTTGCACCAAAGTTTGGCGCCTGCAACGGCCTGTTAGCAGTCCCAAGTGGTGATATTGCTTTTACTCCTTGTATCGGATCGAAGGGTATTCCTTCGACGTCTGGCCTTGGGCCTGGAGATGGAGCTGAGACATTGCTGGTGATTCTCTGAGCTAGGCTTTTTTCGATCCTAATGGATGCTTACCTTTCGGCCGCCTAATGAAATGGCCAGGGTGACTAGAGGGAAACTGGCTCCTCTTGGGCTGACAGGGGTGGCCCCAGAGTGTCGATACCCCATTTTCCGGGTGATGACGTTGTCGTGATTTCGAGTCCCACGGATGGCGCGAAATGTTATGATATGTCTTTGAGCTTAACTTCGTCAACTGTGGTTTCGCCTGAGTTATGCTTAAGAATCATAGCAAAGAAAGAGTAGACGTTAGTCGTCGTTTAAGAAGGGGTCCCGAAACGAGACTCCAACGGTCTAGTCAGTTGTTGGATGAGAGAATTAGGGTCTGGCTAGGCATAGAGAAAGAGGCGGTCCTTTCTTCTGGTGAAGAAGGATCTCTTTTAAACCTGTCGTCGAGGGAGCATGTCCCCGACAGTACCTTTTGTCTTGTCTGGACCGTCAGGACGTGGACTCACCCTTGAAGCATGGTCTGTATACCCGGGGGGTGGTGTCAGATCTAAGAGCTCCAACGAGCGATGAGATCTATGATTTCTTCCACCATCAATTTTTAGATTTGTGAGATCTAGTTTATATCTCGTTTTTTCCACCACTGACGTCAATATCTATAAACTCCAATCCAAATGTACATTTTTTCCACCATCGTCATCCAGATCTATGAGCTTCGGTCCAGATCTATGTTTACCGCCACCATCAACCTCCTGATATGTAAGTTCCAGCGACCATCATTGTTGACCGCTACTCTGCCGTCCCCATATCTGGATCTAAATTTTACTGACCAACATCGAACCACTACAACACAATCGACTACTACCAGATATGTGATCTCTGGCGAATTACCACCTCTTCCTCCTGTCTGTAGTGGCCTATTGACAGGATTTATGACTCCAATGACTTTCCTTGGCACTTCTTTCTTAGATATGTTTCGATCTGATTGATTTCGATAGTTTTTCCTTTTTCTCATGGTGTTCCTAGTCCATATATGTCTATATCTTGTTAGATCTAAGTGAATCCAAATTTTGACAACTACAATCTCTTTTCTTTGGTGTTAGATTTGTGGTTTTGATATGTTACTGGTGTTTCCTTGTGAGATCGGAAAGCTTTATGTGTTTTTTGTTCAAGATTTGGTGGATATCACAAGTACACGGTTTTTATTACTTTTGTTTATATGTTTTTTTCTTTAATTTTCGTTCTTCCACACCTTGTGAAAATGAGTTTTTGGTTGTTATTTTGATCATATCCTTCCCCGGTCTTGCTCTAATCCGTTGGTTTACCTCATATCTTTGTTGATGTGTTTTAGATGACTATCAGATATGGTAGTTTACTCCTAATTTTTCAAGGTTTTTTATATATGTATTGAAGTTTTAAGTTGTTAATACATTATTTTTTTACATATCTCATGTTGATATCTTTTGGATCATAAACTTCAACTATAATGAATTTTGTGATTAAACTGTGAATGAATTGTTTTAAGTTGTACTTAGATAGTATTTAGCTGTGAATCTTATATGAATTGTGCGTTAAAATATAAATGTTTGTTCAACTTTTATAGTGAATATATACCAAGAACGAGAGTCCTGAACTATTTTATTAAACTATGAACGAAAGTCTTGAAATTTAAGTTTTAATTTGGGAATATAGTTGTGAATGTATAATTTTGCATATTAAACTATGAATTTATTGTATTAAGTTGTGAAATTTATGTATTAAACTTTGAATTGATTGTAATATGCTATGAATTTTGTGTATTAAACTTTGAACTAATTGTATTAGGTTGTGAATTGACTGTATTAAGTTATGATTTTTTTTATGAATTTTTTTTTGCTTTTGAAATATGAGATGAAAGAAGCATTATACACAAATATGATTTTATCAATGTTTGAAAAAATTATGTGAAATTAAAATGTGAATATTGTGTAAATAAACATTGAAAGAAGCATTACCCTCCAGATTTGAATATGACTATAAATGACCAATTTTTGTGTATTAAATTGCGAATTTATTACATTAAGTTGTGAATTTTGTATACTAAACTATGAATTGACTGTATTAAGTTGTGAATTGAATGTATTAAGCTGTGAATTGTTTATGACCTTCGTGTTGAAATATGAATAATTCATGTATGAATGTTTGTATTAATTTTTTTTGTGAATATATTTATATTTTTGTGTTGTATAAATATGTAAAAATGTATTAGTTTTTATAATTATTTTGCATTAAACTTCAAATTAATAAATTAATTGGTTTATTAAACTGTGAATATAATATTTAATTTGTCAATGCATGATATTATATATAGAGATTTGATTTGGAATGAATTATGATTGTGACGGTGACACAAGTGGTAGGTGGCGGCGTATGGTAGTTGAAGGTGGTAGATTTTGGGTTTGACTTCTTTGAATATGTTAAGTAATGTATAAGGGATTTTATTTGATGTGTTTAGTTTAGTATATAAAATAAGTTTTAAATAACTTTCCAACAAGTCCCCCGCAACGGCATCAAAAACTTGATGTTTGTGTGTGTGTATACATTATCAGGTTTTTTTATTTTATAAAATATTAATCTATAGTGACTAAACTAATACACATTACATGCAATGGACCTATCGTGTAGCAGTATAATTTAGGTAAGACCAAGTTTCTATTAAATGGAGAATCATAATTCAATTCAAATACATTCAAGTGCTAACTAAACTATAAACAATAACATGCGAAGGGGTTTTGATTAAATTCAACTAAACTAAAAGAATTAAAGAATAACTTAGAGGATAAAGATATAAAGATGTTTTCACATAGATTTCGACTCCGCCTTCAGATATTTTGGATTTCAATTGAGTGTAATGAATATTAGTTATTATTTACCAATTTCTAATGTATTTGTTATCTTGGAGCGATTAACTAAATTGTATAATTATAAAGACAATTAACACAATGGTTAAACAATTAACTTAACTATCTAAATAATTATAATTAAGTTCGTATTACGAGAGATTTGATCTATGAATTAACTTCAATGATCATAAAAGCCAACTATTAGCATAAGTTATTCACAAAAACTTTCTTACACATTTAAGTTTACGATTTTATTAGCCAACCTAAGTTTTGTCAAACACTAGCCATAATTATTTATGGTCATAAAACAACTACGAAACAAGCTAATAAAACTATTGATAGTCTAAGTTCTACTGACTTTAACAATAAGTAATAGAAATCAAAACTTTAACACTAGGATTTTGATCAAAGAAACATAATATATTAAATAAAACCAATATTTGTACAATTGAATCACACCAAATTGTTAGGTTATGTGACAACCGTCAATTTTGGTCAAACAAAGTCAACCAGGTCAACTCAACTCGTATTAGAATTTTAGGGGAAATGTGATATTCCCTAATGTTACTAATATAATATTGACAAGTTATAATGCAAAG